CACTTGTGAAAGGACTCTCAGGGTACTTGCTGACAGCAGGCTGAACATGATCCAGCAGTGTGACGTGGTGGTCAAGAGGGCGAACGCCACCCTTGGTTGCATAGCCAGAAGCGTGGCTAGTAGTTCAAGAGAGGTAATACTACCACTGTAGACAACTCTGGTGCACCCACAACTGGAGTATTGTGTTCAGTTCTGGGCCCCTCGTTACAGGAAGGATATAGCCAGGTTAGAGTCAGTGCATCATAAGGCCACAAGGATGGTGGTCGGATTGCAGGGAAAACCATATGAAGCGAGGCTGAGGGAACTGGGTCTTTCAAGCCTGGAGAAGAGGAGACTCTGACGGGATCTTTTGGAAACATATAGGTATGTTAGAGTATGTCATGCGGAGATGGGTAGAGACCTGTTCTCCCCTGTGGAGGAGGGGAGGGCATATTTCAGTGGAGCAAAGCTCAGGGAACCAAGGTTCCATTTAGATGCAAGGAAGCACTTCCTGATAGTTAGGACCCTAGGGTATGGAGTGGGCTTCCACGGGAGGTGGTTGAAGGCCCATCAGTGAGGGCATTTAAGGATAGGCTGGACGCACACATGGTAGGCATGTCATGAGCAGAGCTGACTGGAGCCAGGAGTCAGACTAGATGGTCCAGGAGGCCCCTTCTGACTCGCTCTGTTTCTGTGTTTCTATGCTTGTAAGTAAGAATCTAATTAAAAATCTGAAAGATGATGGGGAGCACCAGATGCAAACTACCATCACTCAGATTAAAGAAGAATATCACTCAAATCAATAAGATTGTTTTTCTGAGACTGGATAAATAATGGCTTTGGATAATAGACTTCAAGTAACAGAGAAAGTGGTGGGTAACCTACACATTCAGAGCAATCTTGATAATCTGGACTCTATGAACAACATAATGAAATTTAAAGGGGACAAATACCAACGTCTGCTCCTAGGAAGTAGAATCCAAATGCAGAGTTACAAGAAGGGAATGACTTGGTTTAATAATACTGAAGGTGAGAAGGATCTTGGAATTGTAGTTTACAAACGGTGTATGAATCAATAATGTGAAACGAATGTAAAAGAAGATTTTGGACTGCATTCATAGACGTATCACTTGCAAATCACATGAAGTTCTAGTACCCTTCTACTCAAGACCAGTTGGTCTCAACTGGAGTATTTGCTCCATTTGTGGGCACCAAAGTTTGAAAACAATGGCGGCAAACTGGAAAACATCCAGAGGAGGGCAACAAGGTTGATCCAGGGACTGGAAACAAAGCCCTATGAGGACAGATTGAAGGAACTGACCATGCTTAGCTCTGAGAAGCGAAGACTGAGGGAAGATGTTATAGTACCCTTCAAGAACTGGAAAGGTTGTCACATAGAAGAGGACCAGAATCTCTTCTTGATTGTCCCAAAGTTAATGATTTGGACAAAGAAATTTAATTTTGCAGAGCTAGAGTCAGGACAGTGGTTTTTGTCCGATTTTTCTTTTTTATTTATGATTGGTAAAACCCAAGAATAACTTCTTTCTCCATGGATATTTGAACTATGCTTTGAATTCCTGGTGTGCACAATCCAACAAAACCCTAGTATTCATGAATTACTTCCTCAGAGTGTAACCATAATATTTATACTCATGGTCTTTAATGTACTATTATGGAAGTTCAGTGATTTATTTCACCTTTGATGCAAAGAATAATTATGGATTTTTTCCAGCTTCTGTATTAAGTGATCAAAGTCCTAAAATTACTGTATTCCATAATGTTCCAGTTAAATAAAAATTTATACCCTGCTCAGAGTTTATTACATGTTTGACAATGCTTGTCCCTCGCAATATATCTAAAATGGATAAGCTAAATTTGAGTAAGTTGATTGCTGAAATCCCATGGGACATTGGCATCTTTAAATTTAAATCTATGATATAGGGTAAATACATTACAATAAATGCAATACCTTGGTTTATAGAAACAGAGCAAGTCAGAAGGGATCTCCTGGGCCATCTAGTCTGACCCCCAGCTCTAGCCAGTTCCGTTTATGACATGCCTACCATGTGTATGTTTAGCCTGTCCTTGAACACCCTCACCAATGAGGCCTCAACCACCTCCCATGGAAGCCCACTCTATACCCTCAGGGTCCTAACTATCAGGAAGTACTTCCTGGCATCCAAATTGAACCTTCGTTCCCTGAGCTTTGCTCTGTTGGAGTGGGTCCTGCCTTCCTCTGCAGGGAGAACATGTCTCTACCCACCTCCGTGTGATACCCCCTCACATACCTATATGTCGTCAACAGATGTCCTCGGAGTCTCCTCTTCTCCAGGCTGAAAAGACCCAATTCCCTCAGTCTCACCTCATATGGTTTTCCCTGCAATCCGACCACCATCCTTGTGGCCCTGTGCTGCACTGACTCTAACCTGGCTATATCCTTCCTGTAATGAGGGGCCCAGAACTGAACACAATACTCCAGTTGCAGATGCACCAAAGCTGTCTAAAGTGGTAGTATTACCTCTCTTGGTCTACTAGCCACGCTTCTGGCTATGCAACCAAGGGTGGTGTTCACCCTCTTGACCACTGTGTCACACTGCTGACTCATGGTTAGCCTGCAGTCAACGAGTACCCCAAGATCCCTTTCAGAAGTGCTGCTCTCCAGACACTTGTCCCCTAACCTGTACTTATGACACCCATTCCTATGCTCCAAGTGCAGGACCTTGGACTCATCTACATTGAACGCTATCCTGTTTTCTCCTGCTCACTTCCATTATCTTTCCAGATCCTTTTGGATCTGGAGTACCTGCTCCTCAGTTTTATGTTTTACATGGCATTTTTTGCTCACGTCTGGCAAATATTTTCAATAACTTAATGCAATTTGATAAAATCCTATGAATAATAGGATTATTTCTTTCATAATAATCTCAAATGCTGTTTATGTTTTCTAAGGTGAATAGGCAACCTGATGCCTTCCAGTTGTTTTGGGCAATAACTTCCTTAAGTCTGAGTCAGCAAAACCATTGATGATAGGAGCTGTTCTGCAAAACATTCCAAAGACACCAAGTGTTATACTTGTCGTGCCTGATGGCTCGACAGAGACATCTACTCGTGAGGAAGAGGCAGGAGCTAACTGTGAGAGTTGGGCATTGGAACAGGAGGACTTATATTTGGGGCCCAGTGCCTAGACGGCCCCTCTGCAGCCTGGCTCTGAGACTGCTGAGCAAGGAACCTCTCCACAGCCTGACCCCATAGCCTCTGAGAGAATAGCCTCCCCGCAGACTGACGGGGAGGCGTCTGAAAGAGTGGCTTCCTCTCATTCCAGCTCTGAGCTGCCTGAACAAGTTGCCCCCCCGGCTCTTGACTCTGAAACTGCTGAGCAGAGTTCAGGAGAACAAGAGAATTTAACGGGAAATTTGGCAAACGCTAAAGTTAGGAGATCTTTAAGGCGACAAGTCCAATTACGACGACAGGACAGAGGTCTGTCCCACCCACGAACGGAAAGATGAGACAGGAAGATCTGATGCCACGTGGTCTCCTGAGGTAGCTCAGAAAGGAAACAGCAACTGAACTGCAAGGGGCAAGTTCTTAGAGCTTATCAGTCACATTGTACATCTTGTAGTGAATAGCAATAAAAGTCTTTAGTTTCACTGCCAGCTGCTGTGTGAGTTAATTGGAGACATGAGTTACGACCTCATGACAATACTCCTCCCAAAGATAGCAGCTACCCCACTTTTTCAAGTAATCTCTAAGATTAATCATTTTATTTATTTTTATTCTTAATTATGAAATCAAATTCATAACCAAAACAAGGATTTAAAAAGGGGAAAATAACATAAAACAAGATGTTACAATTATCTTACATGAAACTTAAGAAGATCTGCAAGACCCTATGAAAATGAGGCAATGTGTGAATATTATGATAAATAAAATAAAAATACATGTATGCTATATATATGTACTATATATGTTGTACGTGTAGCAAGACATATTACTATTATTAGAGATAATGAAGAGTTTTTGCAGAGGAATGGTCTGTTGCTTTGAATGTATGAAATCTAGCTCCTGACAATTACGGTTATTAGTCTGTATGGAAATGCAATACAGTAAAACCTCAGTTCACCAACACTTATGTTCGCGAACAGTTCAGTTCTCAAACAGAAAGTTTGGCAAAATTTTGCTTACATTTGCGAACTCCGCATTGGATGACGAACACGATTGTGATCATCTTCCCCACACCGCAACCTTGTGTCAGAGCGTGTTTGAATGAGGAAGAGGGCCACATTCGTGTTCATGCGGGGAAGATGGCTGCAGTCGTGTTCATGCAGAAAAAATTGCCACATCTTGTTTTCATGAACATGAACGTGGCCATCTTCCCCGCTCTGACATGTGGTCGCAGCTTCCTCTAGCTGAGATTGCGGTCACAGACTCGCCCTCCAAGCAATAACCTCCTCCCCACCCACCTTCCTGTTCTCCATGCCAGAAGTTGCCTCAAGCAAGGTTAGTGTTCTCTCTCTTCATACTGTACTGTACACTCTACTTTGTTTTGTATTTTTGTTGTTAAAAAAAAAAACGTGGTTCAGAATGGAGTAACCTTATTTACATTGAACCTTATGGGGAAATTTGACTCGGTTGTTGACCAGTTCAGTTCGCGACCAGAAGCATAGAACGAATTAAGTTCGTAAACCGAGGTACCACTGTAGATGATTACGTACACTTGGATGGATTTTTTGTTAAAAAAAATTAAAATTTTGTTGAAATATATATTGATATTGATATATTAGTGTATGCCTTTTTATGTATTTGGCTTTTATTTAATTGTTATATTTTTGGCAACATTTTATATGCTGTATAACTTGTTCATAGTTTGGAGTATTAAGGAAAAAACAAGAATGGAAGTGATAAGATGTACACAACTTCCTGATATTTTTATCAAAGGATAACTTAAATCATTTTAGTTATGAAATATTGTGTATCTTGTACATGGGTGGAAAATTAATCTCCTTCTAATGACTTGATAATAGGCAGTCGGAGAGAGCGTTGTGAGGGAGGAATTTCCAGATGCCATCATTATGAAGCCTTCTGAAATGTTTGGAAGAGAGGACAGGTTTTTGAATCATTATGCAAGTAAGTGCACTCATTGCAAAATTAATTTTCTTTTATTACGAAGAATAACAGAGTATGTGATAGAATATTTGTTAAATTGAATTTATTGGGGAGGGAAACAATAACTTGGAGGCAACTGTACATGAAGCGCTATGTACGAATAACCCCAAAATAGTTTTCTCAATAATATTGGAAAGAAGCCAGATGAAAGAAGGCAGATAAAGCACATGTCTTTCAGTGTCTATAATGCCCAGAGTATGGGAAATAAATAAGCTTGAAATCTTAATACATGAAGGCAAATATGACTTAATAGGCATTACTGACACTTGGTAAAATGACTGCTATGACTGGTGTATAGAAATTGAAGGACATAATTTCTTCATAAAGAGCAGAAGAAATAGGAAAGGAGGTGGTGTTGCATTATATGTTAAAAATATTTATCCTTGCACAGAAATTCAGGAAAATGACCCTGGTAGCCCTGTCAAGAGCATTTGGGTCAGAATAAATGCATCAAGGTCAAAAGGAACATGATAGTCAGAGTCTACTACCCAGCACCCAACCTAGGAGAAAATGGGGGTGAGACTTCTGTTAAGCAAATTGCCAGTTTTTCAGTGAGGTGCAGTGTGGTAGTAATGAAGGACTTCAGTTACTGGGATATCTGTTGGGAGACAGTCTGCCAAAGTGGCCCCTCCAAAACATTCTTGACATGCATGGCGGGTAAGTTTCTTCTACAGAAACTGAGGGTAGGAATTAGAGTATTGGCTATCATTAACTTAATACTGACTAATAGAGATGACTTAGTGGATAAAATGGAAGTTATGGAAACTCTGGGGGAAAGTGACCACAACCTACATGATTTTAAAGGAAGCAAGATGGAGCATAGCCACACATGTATTGTGGATTTTGGGCAAGCTGTCGTGAGGCCGTAACTCACATCTCCAATTAACTCACACAGCAGTCGGCAATAAAACTAAAGACTTTTATTGCTGTTCACTACAAGATTTACGATGCAACAGATAAGCTCTGGCGATGAGCTCCTCGCAGCTCAGTTGCCCCCTCCTTTCTGAACCCTGAGGGGAAAGTCACGTGGCTCTCAATCTTCTCTCACGTCTTTCTGTCCGTGGGTGGGACAAACTTCTGCCGTCCCAGTTGGTCTAACCACCACAATCTCTGCCGGAGCTGGGCGTTTCATAAATTTCCAGTTACGTCTTCCTGTTCTTCAGGACTCTGCCCAGCAGCTTCAGAGTCAGGAGGCGGGGGGCAGGGGCACTTGTTCAAACACCTCAGAGTCTAGAGGAAGGGAAGCTGCACCCTGCTCAAACAAGTGAGAGCTAGGGTGTGGGAAGTCTTCTCGCTCGGAAGCCTCAGAGTCGGGCTGCAGAGGGGCCTTTTGGGCCCTGGGCACCAAGTATAAATCCCCTTGTTTCACTGTGAGCTTCTGGCCCTCTCTCGCGTACCAACGCCTCTGTCAAGCCATAAGGCACGTCACAAACTGATTTTAATGAACTCAGAGCAGTGATAAGTAAGGTCCCATGGCAAGTGATCCTAAAGAGAAGAGGAGGTCAACATGGGTGAGAGCTTTTAAAAAGGATTTTTAAAATAATTCCAACAAAAAGAGAAGACAGCAGAGAACAAAATACCCCACACTAGTCAGCCCTCACCTGGAATACTGTGTCCAGGTCTGAGCACCAAAATTTAAGAAAGATACAGGTAAATTAGAAAGGGTCCAGTGGAGGGAATCAAAAATGATCCAGGGTTTGGAAACACTGCCCTGTGAGGAAAGACTGAGAGAACTGGGCATGTTCAGCCTTGAGAAGAGAAGGCTGAGGGGGGACATGATATCCCTCTATAAGTACCTCAAAGGCTGTCACAAGGAGGAAGGTCAAGATCTCTTCTTGCTGCTGCCAGAGTGTAGGACATGGAATAATCAATTCAAATTGCGACAACCCAGATTCAGGCTGGACATCAGGAAAAGCTTCCTCACTGTCAGAACAATACAACAGTGGAACCAGCTGCCTGGAGAGGCAGTGGGCTCTCCCACACTAGAGACATTCAGAAAGAAACTGGACAGCCATCTCAGTGGGATGGTGTAACTTGGTGTCCTGCAACAGCAGGGGGTTGGACTCGATGGCCTTCATGGCCCCTTTCAACTCTACTACTCTGTGATTCTAACAGTCAACCTTTTTGTCACAGCTCACAATACTGTCTGCACAAATTTTAGATGGGGCATGGGGCTAGCTCCCTGAGAGGTACATTCCTCCTCCACTTGTCAGGGGCACTGTGCTTCCTCTCTCCCCACATTTCCTGCTGATCAGAAGGGTGCTTGTGAAGGTATATCATATTTTCTTTCATCAGCCCTAATAGCCAAGACAACTTTGGCTCACTTGACTTCTCTGACTCTGCCTTGGGACATTTCTCTATTTCCTTAATAACCCAGGTCTAGTATCTCAAGACGGAGGAAAATCTTCCACCCCAGCATCACCACTCTGTGCTTCACTGTGTGGCATATCATCAACATCGTAGCTAATATTCTGCTGCAGGTTGTCAGAACCATCCTTGATGCTACCCTGAAACCAAAGGGAAAGTGTTACCTAAACAAATGGTAGGCATTCACCTCCTACATGCAACAGGAGGCCCTCAACCCTCAGAACACCATGTTTGATCATTTCCTTGGTCCCTACACATTTTCTTTCGAAAAGGGCTGAAGGCTTCCTCTATCTGTTTAGAGACTAGCAGTCTGGGTCAGAAACACCAGCCTATGAGCCTATGAGCTGTCTGTTCTACTACTCTTGGCCCATCCAAGAACTCAGTCTACACAAGCTCCACAGCCTTGCTCATGAGAATACCTTTGTAGAACCTTTACAAAGCAGCTGCATCGTCCACACCTTAAACATTCAGCAAGCACTACAGAGTAGACTTCCAGGCAAGGGCAGACTGCTCCTATGACAGAACAGTCCTTTTTGAGATCTTCCAGAGATGACACTATCCCACCATCCTCTCCAGGGTAAGCTTGCTAGTTGCCCATATGTGTGATGTACAGAGACTGCAAAGAAGAAGGGCAAGTTCCTTACATGTAACTGTTGTTCTTCTCGTGTCCATCTCTGCATTCACACAGCCTATCCACCAACCCCACTGGGTGTCATAAGTGACTTAGCAGTTGCATTCATTTCTTTTCTAGGTAGACCTAGCTAGATTAAAGATGGGGTTTTATTTGCTGTAATGTGATGTCTAATGCTGTACTTTTATTTTATTGTATTATCATTCTGGGACTTCGTGAAGGATGATATAGAAAAGCTTTAGATAGAGAGATACATAGATAGATGTTAGAATAGGTTATCACTGTCTCCTTAAGGCACAAGTAAGCAGCTTAGCATACTCCAGGTATTTTAATCTACAGCTACTGTCGACCTGAGACAATGTGGCCAGTCATCAGAGATTTGGTGAGCTGTGGTCCAAAACATCTGGAGACTGTTGCCAGGAGTTTGCCTACCCCACCTGTAAAGTTTTACAGGTTTCTTTCTAAACTTTTTGAGGGTAGCAAAGTCAAGTAGAATGTCTTTTATCACTGGGTGTTAGTTACCTTCCTTTAACTCTTATTCCTAGCTCTCTGTTTTTCTAGGCAATTGTTATTATATTCAGAGACAGGTACAAGATCATGTTGAAAAAGTCAAAATTGTTTATTGATTGTTTGTGTTAATAATAACAGTCTATAGCCCACTCTTCAGATTAAATGCCCTCATAAAGTGGATTGCAACTTAGTTAAAAACTAAAAACACTATTCAATATAATGTTTTTTTTGCTTACACTTTCTTTCAATTTTATATAAAAAGTTTGTTTAATATACTTTGGAAACATCCATTGGCAAAATTAAAATATTTCAATAGTTAATATTTGGATATTATAGTTACTAAATTGTTACAATGAATGGAACTTAGAATTGCAGTAAATAAATAAATTATAAGTGTGCTTCAACTTAATAGAATTATGAGCTTTCTTTTCCATTGGTTAATAAAAGTGCCCAGTTTTGACCAAGCATAGTTTTAACATTATATTGTCAATGGATTTTAATATACTTTGCACTTACGTAGCGGCTCTGAATGTGAAGTGCTTTACTTCATCTCAGTAACCTTTGCAATGGTTACCCTGCCATGTAGATTAGTGTCATCCTTGTGTTAGAGATGGGGAAGGAGGCTAAAGCATAGCAAGAATGCTCATCTAGTGAGTTTATGGCAGTTCATGGAACTAGTGACATCCTGGTTATAGCTCAGCTACTACATTCTTTGATGCAAAGAATGTTCTGAGGACTACAGCAGGGTTTGGCATGCTCAGTGAAACTGTATATATTTCCTTGGGACAGGAGTTAAATGCTGTGTGGATTTAATGTAGCTGTTTCTTATTTTGAGTTATTTACTTTGCTCTGTATTACTGATCATTGGTTTATAACAGCCATGCTTCTGTTCCACAGTAACTTTTCTGTTTTGATTCAGACATGCGCTGGTTTGTTGGGGTGCCACTGATTGCATTTGGCAAGAAAACTGTGAAGCAGCCTATCTATGTAAGCATTATATATATTTATAAAACTACACGGAGAGGTTGTCTGAATTTCTGGGGTTTGGTGCCTTCAGTACAGTGGTACCTCAGCTCATGAACACCTCAGTTCATGACCAAATTGGGTCGTGAACAAAAATTTCATAAACATTTTGAATCAGCTTGTGAACTCTGCACTGAGTGGCGACCACAATCTTGGCCATCTCCCCACCCCCAGCATGATTACGCCCATCTCCCCTCCCCCCCAGCATGCTAGGATGATGGGTGTGTGCAGGGTTGATGGGCGCGATTGCGGTTGTGCTGGGGGAGTGGGGAGATGGCCGCGCTCGTGCTCAGGGTGGTGGGTGGGGGAGATAGCTGCAATCTTTGTTGTTCTTTGTCACTTTGCTTTACATTTTTCTGATTAAAAAAATAGTTACAGAACAGATTAACCTTATTTACATTAAACCTTATGGGGAAATTTAACGTGGCTCATGGCCAATTTGGGTCACGACCAGAGTCCTGGAATGGATTAAGTTTGTGAGCCAAGGTAGCACTGTATTATATAATGGCAGCTGTGCTTGCTATTCCCTAAAGCTGGCATGACTTAATTTGCATCTGCTGACGGTGGTGGTAAATACTGCCCTATGTGGTTTAATTTGGATTTGAGAGCCAGTGTGGTGAGTATAGTGGTGTATAGTGTATGTATAGTGGTGAGAGTGTTGGACTAGGGCTTAGGAAATCTGGATTCAATTCCCTTCTTGGCCAAGAAGCTCATGAGGTTACAAGAAATTCACTCATACTCGTCCTAAGATACCTTACAGAATTGCTGTAGGAAAATAAAATGGAAAGTAGAACATTGTAAGCCACGTTGGGTTCCATTCAAGAGGAAGAGAGGTGGGATATAAATGCAAGGTTGTTGTTATTTATGCTCGACTTCCATGAGCATCATTTGACTGAAAGGATCTAAACATAATACATTGTTGAAAATAATGTATGTTTGTTGTACCTAACTCAAAAAACTTGCTGTTTTTTCTTCTTCATTATTATTCCATAGGTTGTTGATGTAGCCAAGGCAATAATCAGTGCTATTAAAGACCCAGATTCTAAAGGGAAAACATATGCATTAACTGGGTAGGTTTGTTTGTTTTTTAATTTATCATCCTGCATACTATAGTTGCTTAAGGTGGTGCATTTTCTATGATGTGGATTTTGATTATATAGGGTGTTTCATAAAGTACGCAGCTTTTAAAAATGCAATAAATCAGCCAAAATCGAAGCAAAATTCAAAATTTTTATTTAATTTCATTCAACATATACTTCAATTTAATAATGAAAAATGATATCGAGCATATGTCCACCTCCACTTTCTCTGCAGGCAGTCATCCGATTGTTGAAATTAATGATAGCTCTTTCGCAGACGTCCCTGTTGATTTCGCTGATTACCCGTACGGTTTCGACCGGGCAATTTTGTGGTTGCAACTGACCCAGATTCTTTGAATTTCTGTACTAACCTTGAAACTGTTGTTGCGGTAGGGGCATTGTCACGTCCAAAGATTGCACAAAGTTTACGGACAGTCTCTGCGTAACACTCCCTGTATTGTAATGAGTTTTCACAATAAGAATGTGTTGCTTGATACTGAACTGCTCCATGGCTACTAAATGGAAAAACAACAAATGGTCTTCTAATTGGAGTGATAATAGATAACGAAAATGATTGGAACAGTGCTGACAATCTTCAAACAAAAAATACTGCTCAATTCAAAAACTGTGTACTTTATGAAACACCCTGTATTATGCTCATTAGACATATTTTGAGTAGAAGTAAACCAGCAATAGTATACCATGGATTGCTCTGTTCCTATGGAGTATAGATGTTTACAGCATCGGACTTTCCTTTCACCACCAGATACATCCACAACTGAGTGTCCTTTCGGCTTTGATGCAGTCACTTCATTCTTTCTGGCGCTACTAGTACTAGCCCTCTGCTCTTCCCTAGTAGCACATTGGGCATCTTCCAACCTGAGGGGTTTATCTTCCAGTGTCATATCTTTTTGCCTTTTGGTACTGTCCATGGGGTTTTCATGGCAAGGATACTGGAGTGGGTTGCCATTTCCTTCTCCAGTGGATCACATTTTGTCAGAGCTCTCTGCATCTTGGCTGCCCTTGCACGGCATAGCTCATAGATTCATTGAGCTACACAAGCCCCTTCTCCACGACAAGGCAGTGATCCATGAAGGGGACCGCTGTCCTACCAGTACTAAATTGCTTGGCAACTTAAGTGAAGGGACCCGTCACTGGAATATAATCAACATTAAATCTTGAAAGATGAAGATATAAGTAGAAGTTTGGTCATACTTGTAAGATTGATGGATTTTATGATCTAACTCCAAAGAGCAAGTCTATTTTATGTGGCCTGATTGTTAGAATTTGGTTAAAAGCATTGAAAATGCATCTTCTCAGGTCCTTTACTTAATGCATGTTTCTCAAGTGTGTGTACACATTATTTTGCTTGCTGTTTTGCAGACCTAATAGATACCTCCTTTATGACTTCGTAGAATATATTTACGCGGTGCTCCACAGAGTTTTCCTCCCATATCCATTGCCTCGTCCTCTATATCAGTAAGTCTAATCTCATCTTGATTGACAATAGTTACCCCTTAGACTTAAATTATACATGGTATTAATAATATAGTCTCTCTCTGTGTCTCTGTCTGTCTGACTTTTATATAAATATGCAATCTTCAGTTGGAGACTAACATTGGGCTGGGTAGCTGTTTTCCCCCATGGACCACTTACGATCAGGGTTTTGGGGAATAGAGTGTTACCTTGGCTCACAAACTTAATCCGTTCCACAACTCTGATTGTGACCCAAATTGGTTTTGACCCAAGTCAAATTTCCCCATAAGATTCAATGTAAATAAGGTTAATACGTTCTATAACTTCTTTATCAGAAAGTTTAAAACAAAGTGACAAAGTACTGTACAGTACAGTGGAGAACACTAACCTAGGTGTGGGGGAGGTTATTGTTTTGAGAGAGAGTCCCACTCCATAGGGACATTGGGGAGATCTCTTTCAGGGGTTTCCTCCGTCTCTTAGCTGCAGGGTCAATTTTGGTGAAAAATCTATCTATAGTCACTTGTTTTTTCCTGCACTGCATAACCCTCTGGAAATGAGAGACCACGTTATTTTCATCAGATTCAACACTGTTCATTAAATTTATGCTGGGGTGGTGCTTCTCAAAGAAACCCTGGCATGGACGCACTCCTGAAGGAAAGACAGGCGCAATCTCGGCCATTCCCCCCCACCCCCACCACAACCAACACGATCGTGGCCATTTCCCAACTCGGGGGGTGGGGGGGAGATGGCTGTGATCTTGGTCGCCACCCAAAGCAGAGTTCGTGACCCAAATCAAAATTTTCATGAAATTTTTGTTCGTGACCCAAGGCGTTCGTGACCCAAGGCACCACTGTATTCTGGAAGTGAAAAACTGGTAGAGATTAAGATACCTTTTCCATTTCCTACTGCTAATCTACTTCTCAGATGCCTCTCCTTTCTCGTCTTTCCACACCAGCTTGGTCCACTTTTCTGTACAATTCCTACCACTTTAAGAAAGTGTGATGTAGATTGTAATAAAATGGTGGTGGTGGTGGTAGTGGTGATGATATTTTGGTGCCTTAGGTTAATTTTTTATTTTAGTAGAATTTCTGGGTTGGAGGGATTGAATACAGTGCAGCCTGTTCTGTCTATACAGTAGAAGAAATTGAAGGAGTTTCTGAAAAATAATAAATTTGGGAGAAACCAAAGCAAGTTCTGAATGTCCATGTTGGGTGACAGGATAATTTTCTGTGTTACTTTTTACTACAGTTTACTTGCAAGAATCTTTGAAACAAATCCATTTGAACCATGGATAACAAAAGACAAAGTAGACCGGGTATGTATAAAATTGCAATCACCTGGAGGTTTCATTTTCATATCATTAATTGCTTATAATTTTCCTTCCAATTTTCCTTCCTCAGGGAATCTCAGATTAAGAAAAGAAAAGAAAAACAAAATATAGTAATTATAATCAATATAGAAACAGAGCAAATCAGATGGGGCCTTCTGGTCCATCTAGTCTTACTTCCAGCTTCAAGATATTGAACAAATCTACTTGTTTGGAAAGCAGTAGTCTTTTTCTCCAGGCTGTTCAGTGCAGCAAAAGAGAAGGGCACTGATTTCTTTGGTTTAATTGGGCCTGTTGATCCCCACTGGTGAAAATACATCCTTTTGATTTACTAGCTCATTGGTTATCAAATGTAGTTCTGTCTCTTTCTTTTTTAGAATGTGAGGTAGGAATTCCCACTGAATGTTCACACTTACTCATAGCTTCTAGTTAGTGTTTTTATGATTGTGTTTAATCATATCACAATTGGAGGAAATGATCTTCTACAGCAGCTCAATCTTAATGTGTTCATACTCAGAATGAATGCATATTGAATTTGCTGTGCCTTTTACTGCTAAGTTAGTTTGCAGAGGTTTTGAGGACTATTTCAGTGTGTTCTTTCTCAGTGGTGTTAAGATTCCACTTTTGTCTTAAAAATACCATTATATCTGTGGCGCATACTTTGACTTTCTGTGATGGGATCCATAATTGTTTCTTTGTTTGCATAAGGGATAGCAATTTTCATGAGTTTACTCCTCATCTATAGCTGTCACACTGTTCCCAATTATTTTCAAAACTTCAGAAGCAATTTTTTTTCAGGGGTGTAAGAGCTGTGGAGGGAAGGGGGAGGGGCAAGAAGAACTCATTTTGCAAGGGTGAACTCTAGCCTATCCACAGGATCCAAACCATAGTTTGAGAATATTCCTGAAGTTCCTGACATATGGTTTCAGACCCGGAAGGTGGGTTTTAAAATAATTAAAACTGTAACTGTCATTTTGAGTCTTAAGTTAATCTTTATTTCAGCTTCCTTCCTGAGAATCACAATATGAATTCAGTATGACCAAAGAAAGTTAAATATTCCTCCCATAAACCATAAAGCAAACTTTTGAACATGCAGGCATTTTCAATAGCAGATTATGATACAGTATGGAAGAAAGTCTATTATTTGTTTAGGAGTCAAATTTGAATATCTATAGCTTTCCTGAAGAAACTCTTGGCCTTTGTTTCAGTCTTCTTTAGTTAAGAATTTTGGGTTGAAGAGATATAGCTGTTTCAGATATGAAAACATATGGTACCATAATCTATTCTATTTTTCTTATTTAAGTTCCATACAACAGACAAGAAGTTCCCTGATCTTCCTGGGCTGGAGGACTTGGGTATTGTCCCAACACCAGTAGAACAGAAAGCGATTGAAGTCCTGCGACGTCACCGCACATTCCGCTGGTTGGACACAGAGCTTGAGGAAGCAAAACCAGCCAGACCCATTACCAACATGTAACAACTTACATCCGGCTGAAATTGTATTGTCTTCATGTGTTTGAAGAAAACGGTGTATGCAAAGTTAAATCCGTAGATAAATCAAGTAACCTTTATGTTACTACTGTATTTTATTCAGATGTATGAGATTTGAATGTGATACTCTCAGCATCAGGTTGTTGTAAATTTCAAAAATGAGGCATCAGATTGGTATTCAGGGTGTTCAATTTGTGCCTGTGCAGGAGGATGGGGCTCTACTTGAACCAGAATAGAACCAGACTGCTGGTGCATAAAAAGGTGGCAGAACAGCTTTTAAACTAAATCCTGGGGGAAAGGCGACAGGAACTGGGAAGTATCTGTTTCATGTTAAATCACCTTTAGTGAATGAAGATGAGGAAGGTTCTAATTGCCCTAATGTAGAAGGGGAGGGAATAAGCCACAAGGTTACAGTGAGATACGATAAACAGTTGGAGGGGGACTAAGTGCCTGAATGTAAGTTGAAAGTGCATGGAGAAGAAGGTTGTGTTTAAGTGTTTCTCTCTAAATACTAGAGTCCTCAGAGCCAAAATGAGAGAGCTGGGGTACCTGAGAAGGTAGATATAGTGAGCATTACAGAAACCTGGTGGAGCAGAAGTAACCAGTGGGATACATTCATTTCTGGATATAAACTGTGTAGGAATGTCAGGGAAGGGTGCACTGGAGAAGGTGTTGCTTTCTACCTTAAAAAAGGCATAGGGTCTAGCAGACTTGATGAATTAAAATGTGAAAACTCTTCCACAGAAGCACTATGGGTGAAAATTCCTGGCTCCAAAACTAATTTTGTCATAGGGGTATGCTATTATCCTCCAGACTAAAATGCTCAGCATGAGCTTGTTATGAGGAATGAGATCAGAGAGGCCACCAACAAAGACTATAATGGGAGACTTCAACTAATGGGAGAATTCCACTAATCCACACATTGTCTGGATCAAGCAAAGTTGCAGTTCTGAGAGAGAGGTTAAATTTATTGATGTTCTAAATGACTGTGCTGTAGAGCAGTTGGTCATGGAACCAATCATATGGGAAGAAATCCTGGATTTACTCCTAGGTAGGGTTGCCAAGGACACTCGTATAGGATAGAAATGTTGGTGAACTTACAGGAAACAATAGAAACATAGAAACAGAGCGAGTCAGAAGGGGCCTCTGGGGCCATCTAGTCTAACTCCCAGCTCTAGCCAGCTCCTATTATGTGTATGTCTAGCCTATCCTTGAACACCCTCACTGATGAGGCCTCAACCACCTCCTGTGGAAGCCCATTCCATACTCTCGGGGTCCTGTCAGGAAGTACTTCCTGACATCCAAATTGAACCTTGGTTCCCTGAGCTTGGCTCCATTGGAACACATTCTTCCCTGCTCTGCAGGGGAGAACAGGCCTCTACCCAACTCCATGTGGCACCCCTGCACATACCTATATGTCACCAACAGACTCCCCTTGGAATCTCCTCCAGGCTGAAAAGACACTGGTTCCATCAGTCTAGCCTCATGCGGCTTTCCCTGCAATCCGGCCTCCATCCTTGTGGCCCTATACTGCACTGACTCTAGCCTGGCTATAACCTTCCAGTAATGAGGGGCCCAGAATTGAACACGATAGTCTAGTTGCGGGCACCCACCAGAGTTGTCTAGAGTGGTAGTAATACCTTCTCTCAATCTAGATGCTGTGCTTCTGGCTATGCATCCAAGGGTGACATTCACACTCTTGACTGCCACGTCACACTTCTGACTCATGTTTAGCCTGCAGTCAACCAGCACCTGGAGATCCCTTTCACAAGTGCTGCTCTTCAGTCACATGCCCCATAACCTGTGCTTATGACACCCATACCCATGCCCCAAGAGCAAGACCTTGCACTTGCACACATTGAACGCCATCCTGTTATCCCCTGCCCTCCTCCATAGTCTGTCCTGATTCTTCTGGATCCGGAGTATTTGCTCCTTAGTTGTGGCCACTGTCCCAGTTTTAGTATCGTCTGCAAATTTGATCAGCAGACTGGTCACCCCTTCTTCCATGTCATTGATGAAAAGATTAAACAGGATCAGCCCCAGGACAGAGCCCTGGGGGACCCTGCTTGTCACTGGCCACCATCCCGATGATTCCCCACTAATAGTTACCCTCTGCTTTTGATCAGTCAGCCATGTCCTAATCCATCAGACAGTGCTTTGGTCTGTCCCAAAACTCCTCAGTTTCTCAACCAGGATATCATGTGGCACTTCGTCAAAGACCTTGCTGAAATCCAGGTAAACCACATCAACCACGTTCCCTCCATCTAGCCACCTCAAAACCTTTTCATAGAATTCCACAAGGTTTGTCTGGCAGGACCTGTTCTTGCAGAAGCTGTGTTGTGTGGTCACCAACCTCCCTTCCCTAGCTAGGGTTACTAGATGTCTTGCTATTATGAGCCTTTCCATTGTCTTTCCTACAATGGACATAAGGCTAACCGATCTGTAATTCCAAATGTCCCCTCTACTACACTTTTTGAAAATTGGGACCATTGATGTCACCTTCCAGCCCTCTTGAACCTCATGCATTTCTCCATGAGGCCTCAAAAATGGAGTCCAATGGGCGCTAGAGAACCCCCGCCAACTCCCGAAGTACTCTTAGCTATAACCTGTCATGGCCCGGCACCTTTCTAATATCCCTTGCCCTGGGGAACTCCAATTTCTAGGGGTGTGAGTCTAATCTGTGCTCCTAAATCCCCAGCCTTATCTGATCCCCCATGAAGAACTCCCCCATCCTGCTTTGGGGAGAACACTGAGACAAAATTGTCATTTAGTATACACTATATGACTGTAGTCATATAGTGTGTACTATACATTTCATATAATCATGCTGTACATGATAGCACTGTGCCTGATGACCACAGTGCTATCAGATTGGATGAAGAATTAGCTGGAAGATTGGTAAAGAGGTCAAACACAGTTTGTGTTTCTCTTTGAAAGAGAAAAATTTTCAAAAATGAGAGAACTGGTAAAGAAGCAGCTAAAGAAACTTAAATGTCTTTGATTCAAAAAACACTGTAATTTTGTTGTTAGTTGCGAAGTCATGTCTGACCCATCGCCACCCCATGGACAACATTCCTCCAGGCCTTCCTGTCCTCCACCTTCCCCCGGAGTCCACTTAAGCTCACACCCACTGCCCCAGTGACTCCATCTAGCCACCTCATCCTCTGCCGTCCCCTTCTTCTTTTGCCATCTATTGTTCCCAGCATTAGGCTTTTCTCCAGGGAGTCCTTCCTTCTCATTAGGCGTCCAAAGTATTTGAGTTTCATCTTCAGTATCTGGCCTTCTAAAGAGCAGTCAAGGTTGATCTCCTCTAGGACTGAGCGGTTTGATTGCCATGCGGTCCAAGGGACTCGCAGGAGTCTCCTCCAGCACCACAATTCAAAGGCCTCAGTCCTTCGGCGCTCAGCCTTCCTTATGGTCCAACTTTCACAGTCATACATTGCAACTGGGAAAACCATAGCCTTGACTATACGAATTTTTGTTGGCAGGGTGATGTCTCTGCTTTTTAGTATGCTGTCTAGATTTGCCAGTTTTCCTCCTCAGGAGCAAGCGTCTTTTAATTTCTTGGCTGCAGTCCCCATCTGCGGTGATCTTGGAGCCCAGGAAAATAAAATCTGTCACTTCTTCCATTTCTTTCCCATCTATTTGCCAGGAAGTGAGAGGACTGGATGCCATGATCTTAGTTTTCTTAATGTTGAGTTTGAAACCAACTTTTCCACTCTAAGAGCCGCATCAAGAGGCTCTTTAGTTCCTCTCCACTTTCTGCCATTAGAGTGGTATCATCTGCATACCTGAGGTTGTTGATATTTCTCCCAGCAATCTTAATTCCAACTGGTGATTCATCTAGCCCTGACTTTCTCATGATGTGCTCTGCATATAAGTTACATAGGCAGGGCAAAAGTACACAGCCTTGCTGAACTCCTTTCTCAATTTTGAACCAATCAGTGGCTCCGTGTCCAGTTCTCACTGTTGCTTCTTGACCCGCATAAAGGTTTCTCAAGAGACAAATAAGATGGTCTGGTACTCCCATCTTTTTAAGAACTTGTCACAATTTGTTGTGATCCACACAATCAAAGGATTTAGCATAGTCAGTGAAGCAGAAGTAGATGTTTTTCTGGCACTCCCTAGCTTTTTCCATGTTCCAGCATATGTTGGCAATTTGATATCTAGTTCCTCTCCCTCTTCGAAATCCTGCCTGTACTTCTGGTATTTCTCAGTTCACATACTGCTGGAGCCTAGCTTGTAGGATTTTCAGCATAACTTTGCTAGCATGTGAAATGAGTGCAATGGTGCGGTAGTTTGAACATTCTTTGGCATTGCCCTTCTTTGGGATGGGAATGTAAACTGACCTTTTCCAATCCTGTGGGCACTGTTGAGTTTTCCAAATTTTCTGGCATATTGAGTGTAGCACTTTTACTGCATCGTCTTTTAATATTTTGAATAGCTCAGCTGGAATACTGTCACCTCCACTAGCTTTGTTGCTCAGACTTCCTAAGGCCCAGTTGACTTAACATTCCAGGATGACTGGCTCAAGGTCAGTGACCACCCCAGGAATGATTATCAGGGATGTTAAGATCTTTCTTGTATAGTTCCTCTGTGTAATCTTGCCACCTCTTCTTAATCTCTTCTGCCTCTGTTAGGTCCCTGCCATTTTGGTCCTTTATCATGCCCATTTTTGCATGAAATGTTCCCTTCATATCTCCAGTTTTCTTGAAGAGATCTCTGGTCCCCCCCTATTCTATTGTTTTCTTCTATTTCTTTGCACTGTCCATTTAAGAAGGCATTCTTATCTCTTCTACCTATTCTCTAGAATTCTGCATTCAGTTGTTTGTATCTTTCTCATTCTCCCTTGCTTTTCGCTTCCCTTCTTTCCTCAGCTGTTTGTAAAGCTTCCTCAGACAGCCATTTTACTTTCTTGCATTTCTTTTTCTTTGGGATGGTTTTAGTTTCTACCTCTTGGACAATGTTGTGAACCTCTGTCCATAGTTCTTCAGGCACTCTATCAGATCTAATTTCTTAAATCTATTTGTCATCTCTACTGTATATTCATCAGGGATATGATTTAGGTCATACCTGAGTGGCCTA